GGGGTCGCGTCTGTCCCGCCGCGGGGAACGGGAGGGCAACAGCAACATTCGCTTCACTGCCACCGCCTCGCGGGCTGTGGCGAGCGCCGCGCCGGCCCCAGGGCTTTCCCGCTTGCCTTCGGTACGGCTCGAACGTGCTGTCAGAGTAAGGGGAGTAGGTGCGCCCAGCGCTGCCGCGGTCCCAGCTCTTTCTTCATGCTGTCTCTAGGGAACTCTGCTCTTACACTGGGTGTGTTTGGAAAAACAGTGTGCTCTTGTCTGCGGTGTGTCCCCGGCAAAATAATGGAAGAATGCAGCTTCTTCCCCAGAGAGAGTAAGGTCATGGATAAGATGCCCTGTGAATTCGGCCTGAACTAAACCTCTGTCGTGGTTTGCAATCGGTGGAACTAGAAGTGCAATGAAACGCAATTTATATGGATAATGTGTTTTGTTAATGGTTGATAATGCATTTTATTAATGTTTTGGTCATGTCGTTTTGTTAATGGAGGGGGTTTTTTTATTAGTTGGGATATTTTAAGGATCAGTATCAGGCCTTAGTCCTGCTTAATATCCTGTTTGATTGTCTTCATTGGTGATCTGCATAAGAGGATTGAGTCTACCATTAGTAAACTTGCAGATGGCACTGAGTTGGGTGGGAGTGTGGATCTGCTGGAGGGTTCTGCAGAAGGATCTGGACAAGCTGGAGAGATGGGCCAAAGCCAGTAGTATGAGGCTCAACAACACCAAGTGCCAGGTCCTACACTTTGGCCACTATAACCCCATGCAGCACTACAGGCTGGGGGAAGAGTCATTGGAAAGCTGTGACCAGCAGAGGAGGACCTGGGACTGCTGGTCGACAGCAGCTGAGCATGAGCCAGCAGTGTGCCCAGGTGGCCAAGAAGGCCAATGGCATCCTGGTCTGGATCAGAAACAGTGTGGCCAGCAGGACAGGGAAGTACTTCTCCCCCTGTACTTGGCATTGGTGAGGCTGCACCTGAAGTACTGTGTCCAGTCCTGGGCCCCTCGCTTCAAGAAGGACATTGAGGTGCTGGAGTGAGCCCAAAGAAGGGCAGTGGAGCTGGTGAAGGGTCTGGAACACAAGTCCTATGAGGAGCAGCTGAGGGAGCTGGGGTTGTTTAGCCTGGAGAAGACTCAGGTGTGACCTTATCACTCTCTACAACTACCTGAAAGGAGGTTGTAGCCAGGTGAGGGTCAGTCTCTTCTCCTAGGCAGCTAGTGACAGGATGAGAGGACATTGTCTTAAACTGTGCCAGGGGAGGTTTAAGTTGGACTTTAGGAAGAATTTCCTCACAGAAAGGGTGATTAGAGACTGGAATGGACTGCCCAGGGAGGTGATGGAGTTACTGTCCCTGGACAAGTTTAAGGAGAGACTGGATATGTCATCTAGTGCCATGGTCTAGTTGACATGGTGTGTTAGGTCATCAGTTGGACTTGATGATCTCAGAGGTCTTTTCCAACCTGAATGATTCTGTGATTAGTTGTAATTCAGCCATTTAAGCCCATCCCACAAATTAAACATCCTCTGTAGACAGTGAAAATTGGTGGGTTTTTTTTCAGTTACATATATATTGCATTATATTCCCACTTAATACCACTGTGGAGAGAGTTGTATTGATCTTCCAGTTTGGTTTATAATTTGTGTGCAGTCTGAAGAGAGACATGATATTAACATAAGTTTTCCAGTTATTGTGCTGTGGTGCTGCAAATTCATTTGCAAAATGAATAAGCAGGCTCAGAATTAGTGGCTCAGGCATGGGTGAACAGCTGAAGTGCTAGAAACAGCAGTCGTGGTAACGTGTCCTCCCTCCCTGCTGGCTGAACTGAAAAATTTCTTAAGCCATTTTGCTTTTGGAACCTGTAGGTTAGAAACTACCAGATATTAAGCAAGGGAAAGTAGTAGATTTGGAACAAGCACTGACACTTTCATCAATAAAATAGTTGACTTAAAAGACTGTGGCTGCTCCTGTGGATTTCTGGAGTCAATTTTTTTCTTTTTTTTCCTGTTTTTTAAGGAGAATCCATTACACTGGTCCAAGTGCTGTTCTACTTGCTTATTCTGATCCTTTAGAAAATCATTGTGGCATTTAAATCCCGGATTTTCCAATACTGAGGGATTGCGATTTACAGTTCAGTCACAATGAAGCGAAACTCAAGCATTAGTGGAAGCACCGGTCGGCAATCTATGTTGGCACTGAGAGTGCAGGACAGCAACAAGATGGGTCTCCAAACACCTCAGATGTAAGTATCCCTGATCATCTTGCGAAGAATAGGTATATAAAACTAATTCTGAAGAGATTTGCTGTCGTGTGTTTGAGTGTGTGAGTAGCAACTGGGGAAAAAAATGGAACCAGCAAGAAGAAAGTTCCTTGCAGACAAGGATGTTTGAACAAGTGCTCCAGTTCCGCAAAAAGGCTTCCTCTAATTTATTTGTGTACCAGTGACATATGTCAAATGGTAACACTTTTTCTTGCATGTTTCTTAGGAGGTGTCTGGGTGCATCTGTGTATAAAATGTGTGCTTATAGATCTTGCAGAAGTAGCTTTGGTAATGGACAAATAATGCATTAAAATCAGTTGACTTTTCTAAGCTGCTGCTGTGATAAAAGCCGCTTAGGTTTACATGTGTTTATAGGTCTTGCATGAGCAAAAGGTGAAATGGTAGAAATAGTTACTTGAATCCTTCTGCTTATCCCTCAGGAAGGACAAAGGTGCCTTTGGGAAAACGAGCATGAGCAAACCTGCATCTGGAGCTTCAGAAAGAAAAGTCAGCTTTTTTGGGAAGAGGTATTGATTGCTTTAGTTGTCTGCACTGCAAATTAAAACAATAACAGTCCCACATAATTTTGTCATTTTTCGCTCTTGACAGATTTTTATTATAGGGAATAATGGATCTGAGGCCAAGAGAGCTTCAAGTCTGCCTTCCTCCACTCTTTAATCACTAAACAATGGTGTTGTGGAGCAGGAATTGCTTTGAGAGCTGTTTTTCCTCTTGGGAAGGATAGGCACTGCAGACCTTAGGAGAATACCTCAATACATTTGACTGTTTAAGGAAAAATGACATCTCCAGTACACCCTGCCTTAGTTTCTTCTCTCTAAGATGCAAACCTTTGAAAATTCTGTCATCTTTCTGCTTAGTTCATGACTTTGTGTTTTGATGTCTTGCAGGTATCTTCTCTCAAAGAACCCTGCTGTTGCAGGGGTCTGTTCCTTTTAAGTATTCCTTAAATATTTTAGCCTTTATTTTTAGTCACCTACATAATTTTGTTTCTTTATCTCTGGGGTGTTTTTCTTCTCCATAAAACTTTATTGCTTTCAATAAAATTAAATGTTCATCTAGGATGCAGTAATCCCTCTGCTGTATGTATGCACTGTGGTTTCCAGGTTGATGATGGCTTTCCAATCATCCTAAATAAAGAGAAAACTCAGGTATCACTTTGCACAACAAATGCTAAAGAAACATAAAAGCAGCAATTGTAGTGACTTAAAACATTCAAAGAGTTCTTCTTTATATGTCTTAACACAAGACCTGTATGTATTGTTTGTTGTTAGGACTAGTGGGGCTGGTGGATCACGCAACAGCCAGTACGGCGTGTTCGGTACAGAGAAGATGAAGGATCCCAGGCCACTTCATGACAAGGCATTCATCCAGCAGTGCATCAAGCAGCTTTCTGAGGTAACATATTCTGAATGCCCATTATTAGGTGTACAATAACCAATCAAAATATTTATTTTCTTGCTTTCAACTGTAAGTTTTCATATTTAGCAACTAATATGCTGTGTTTGGTTTTGACAGTTTCTCGCTGAGAATGGCTATGCCCATAATGTTTCCATGAAATCTCTGCAGTCCCCATCGGTTAAGGACTTCTTAAAAATCTTCACTTTTATCTATGGATTCCTGTGTCCTTCTTATGAACTGCCTGACTCAAAATTTGAAGAGGAAATTCCCAAAGTTTTTAAAGAGCTTGGGTAAGATGGATGATTATTGTTAGTCTCTTGTGCTAAATAGATATGGTTTGGCTGGAAACTTAAAAGCTAGGAATTCTGCATGATAGCTGGGGAGCATGCATAATCTTCTATTCAGATGAGACTCTGAAAGTACAATGTTGTGATCATTTTGTTTCACTTTTGTTTAGCTCTAGGTTTACTCTCTGATTTCCAGACTCTACTGTGCACATTATACTTGAACTTGCAGAACTATAGGCTCTTGGAAGCTTGCTTTGTAATTTACAATTTGATTGTCTTTATTTATATACAACTTTATACAGACACAATTTTGTATAATACAATGATGTATAAAGACAGACACAATTTTTTTACAGACTCTTCTGTTCATTCAGATAAAATCCATGAATTAAAAATTCCTGAATGCTGGATCTAGTTCATGTAGTTTAAAATATTTTTTCTGTAATTTCTCTCATTCTGCTTTCAAAGCAGGGTGTAAAAAGAACAAAAGTGACTGCTGAGGTGAAAAGAGCATTAAGTAGCTGAGTGGCTTCTTTCTGAATCTGTGCAGTGTTTGGAATCATTAATGCCCCTACACTTGCCAAGAAAGAAAATCCTCTGCTTGTTGATAATGGTGAATTTTCAGTTTCATTAAGAAAAAAGTGTATTCTCCGTCTGTCAATTCGAGCCCATGATGGTGTCAAAGCACCAGGGCTCCTCAGACATAGGTGTACATCTCTTCTGTTCACTTCTTGGTGTTTTAATAAAATGTTGGTTTATTCTGTAGCATTTGAAACTGCTGACCTAGCTTGAAAAGGATTACACTCTGCTGCACCAAGAGTGTAATCCTGGATAAAAAGACTTATTCTGGGAACTCACTGTAAGTTGTCTTTTGAGAGTTCAAGGTGCATCTGGATGACACTCTTAATCATATGGTTTAGTTTTAGGCAGTCCCATGAGGAGCAGGGAGTTGGACTTGATGATCCATATGGGTCCCTTCCATATACAGATCTTCTGTGAATCACAGGATGAGAAACCCACAATAACTGAATAAAATAGTGCTGTAAGAACTCAACTTACCTCCTTTGATGTACAGTGTAAAGTACAATGGAGTTTGCTCTTTCTTCTTTGCCTTCATCTACATGTGAAGATGTGCTGGTTTTCATCACTGTTTGCTACAACTATTAAAAATGCATTTTCTTTGCCCTTGTAGGTACCCCTTTCCTCTGTCAAAAAGCTCCATGTACACAGTGGGAGCACCACACACATGGCCTCAGATCGTGACAGCGTTGGTCTGGTTAATTGATTGTGTCAAGGTAACATTTGTCTTGCTTAAGACAAATATTTCTGCTTTTGGGACTGGAATGTTAATTTCAATACAGATCTTGTAAATATTTTCTACAAATCTCCTTGTTCAACACTTATGTAGAGAAGAAGTAGGTGTTCTTGCCTGTCATCTAGGAGCTATCCCTTAGCCTTTTTAGCAACATTTAAACTCAGCTTTTCATGTTATATTATGATAATTTATTCTTTTTAATTGTATGCACTGGATAAATGCATGTATAAAAAAAGCAGGGGGAATGATGAATTATACATACATAAAATGTGAAAAGTTAATGGGTATCGCCACTGAAGATATATGTATGAAGATGTTGTCTTCTTGTGACATCTGCCATTCTCTTCTAAATTTGAAGTCAAAGGATGGGATTTTCATTTGCAATTATTCATGTGTCCTGTGATTGTTGTACAGAGTGGAGAGTTTTGTGTTTGGGTGGGGTTTTTTTGTTTGCTTGGGGGTTTTTTAATAGTGGTAACGCTTGCTGCTGCCAGCTCAGGTCTGAGCAAAATTTGGGATCTGTAACAGCAGTTCACCACTGCTGAATCAAGCATATGTGAAAATCCTGTCCTTTATGCTGAAAAGATTAATTTAGCATAGCAGGACAATTTGGCAGTGTTGAATGTCCAGTTCAAGCCTCTTCACCTGTGCGTTTAGTCAACTAAACACAGGGTCATTGCAATCTGCTTGCTGAAATCCTAATCCAGTGTGACTCTGCTTCCTATCATGAACAAGAACCTAATGTGAAAACTAATGGAGATCCTCCCACTTACTCTTTCTTTGTACAACTGTCTTTCAGATATATGCTGCAATGAGGGAAAATTCACCATCGTTTGATGAGGGACAGAACTGGGGAGGAGAGACAGATGATGGAATTGTGCATAATAAGGTATCACAAAAAAGTAAATTATAATCAGAATTTTCAACTGAATTTTGCCATGTGCTGTAACAACACAATTTAAATATATGAGACAGCAATTTAAGCTGCATTTATAGATTCTGTTCCATTTTATATTCACATGGTTCTCTAAGAGGTATAGTAGCATTATAGAAAAAACCTGATCAACCAGTTTGCTGAGCAGGCACCATGGCCGGTCTGTTGTTGACGACAGGGCATTAAACTGAAATGCCTTATTCTCTGAGTTGCTACTGTTTCTGTTCTCCTTGTGAAGAAAGGGAATCGTTACACAGTGGCTTCTGCCAGTATCTACTCAGTTTGCTATATAAACATTGGTCATAATGTTTCATTTCTGAGCCACAAAATAGGGTGGCAATGTAGTTTAGGCATTTAGAAATACAAGAGTTTGGTTCTTTCTAATTTATCACAGATTGTTAGTACCACTCAGATTTCATAGAATTTAGGGGTTGGAATGGACCTTACAGATAACCTAGCCCCCACCCCCTGCCGTGGGCAGGGACACCTCCTCACCAGACCAGGATGCTCAAGGTCTCATCCAGCCTGGCCTTGAACACTGCCAGGGCCAGGGCAACCACCACATCCCTGGACAAACCTGTGCCAGTGTCTCACCATCCTTACAGTAAAAAACTTTTTTCTAATATCTAACCTAAACTTCCCTCCTTCAGTTTGAACCCATTACCCCTTGTCCTATCATTGCAGTTCCTAGCAAAGAGTCCCTCTCTGGCTCCCCTGTAGCCCCTTCAGATATCGAAAAGTTGCTATGAGGTCTCTTTCTATTTAACTCAGTGTTAATTCTGATCAACCCCTTCCAAGGTGTTGGTTGCATGATGTGCTAGAACATTTAATTAGAAAATTGCAAAAAAATCAAGTTAAATTATAATTTTGGACTAAGGTTACAAACCTGAGAGTTGACAAGTAAAAATGCTTTTAAATTGCTTTAAATAATTTTAAATTTTAAATGCATGCTACATTGATACATATATGTTGACACAAAACTTACAATATTGGTGTAATTGTTTCTGAAAGATCTGTAACTTCGTATCTAGCAAATTTTTTTGGGGTAACCTTTCTTTACTTCTAGATCAGTTTTCTGACATCTGCACATCTGAATTATAATAGTCATATTTACTTAAAAGCTCTGGTAAACACACCTACAGTTTCCATAAACTAGCCTGAGAGAATCATCCTAGCCTTGCTGAATATCCCATAAAAATACAGCAAGTACTCCAGACCTTTCTGAATGTGAATTATAAATGCCTCCTCCTGCCTGAATGTAATCTGTTGACATTCTATGTTTAAAGGGAGGAAAAAAGGTGAATTTTACAGAAGTACAGTCAAAACAGGGAAAGATATTTTTGGTGTCTGTTTAATTCCATTCGTTGAGTAGATTTAGACTGTCTGGATATTTTACAGCCCTTTAAATTGTTGAAATGAAAGCTTTTTAAATTGTTTTCAGCTTTTCATGGACTATTCTGTGAAGTGCTACGAGCTTTTCATGAAAGGGAGAGATACTTTTGAAGAACTGGATGCAGAAGTGCAGTCAAAATTAAGTAAGTTTTCAAGTTTTGATGAAGTATTTAATTGTGTTACTGCTTTCTTTTCTTCAAGGATCTGTTTGCTCAGTTTATAAGGTGAAAGTGATCTGAGATAAGGGAACCAGAAATTCTCAAGTACCTTTCAGTTACTTTATGTCTCTTTTTTACACATTTTTACTAGTACAAACAGATGGGTCATGATCTCCTATCAGCTGTACCTGTGTCACCCTGTTGTTTTCAATGGCTGTGGGACACAAAAGCAGTATATAGTTCTTCAGATGCAAATTCCATCCGTGCAGATGACTCTTGTTTCTGTCTGACTAATTTAATTTAAAAATAGTCATCAGACAATGCACATGTGATAAGTTAAACTTCTAAAAGCTCTGAAAACAGTTTGCAAGAGTTCCAAACTGTTGTGAGGGTTTCTCTATGTGTTCATCTTCAGGGAGGTAAAAAATTATTACTTTTCTTTGACTCATTCATTTCACCACCGACAAAAACATAAATGGAGTTTGAGAACAAGAAGGTTAAACATTTCCTACTTTCTATGCCCTCTTATGAAAAGCCACTTTGGGCTATGAAAGGACACTTTGGGTGCAAGTTGGACCATCAGTTGGAGAGGAAACAACTACAGACTGTTACTAGATATTAGCAGGAAAAAGTAATCAGCCCATTGCTTGGCGAAGACTAGGGGGGAAGAAAGGGAAAAGATGTCTCAAGAGGCGAGGAGGTATGTGGATGAGTATACAAGTCAGACTATGCTGTAAAGCTGGAACAGATGAAACAAATAACAGCCTCTATGCTATAGTGTGGGCTATATGAGAGTTTGGAAACTTAGCTCATGGGAGTGACTTTGAGCTTTTCAATGGCATGAGGTCAGAGAATCTTATTTCTCTTCTTGTTTGTTTTGGGGTTTTTTTTGCCTATCTGTTTTGTAATGAAAGGCTTTTTCATGGGCTTGTTGCTTGGGGTTTTTTGTGTTTTTTTTTAGTGTAAAATAATTGTCTAGGTAATGAGCATTTCCTGTGCTGAAGCTGAAGCTCAGATATTCAGATTAGGTGTTGATATTCAGTGAGATTAATTTGTAACCCAGCTCCCTTTTCCCTTCTTCCACAGAGGATTTATTTAATATAGATGAATTCCAGATAGAAGGTTTAGCAGCTGACAACAAAAGACTTCAAGAAGAGATTGCAAGAGTAGAAAAAGAAAAGGAAAGAGAGCCGGTTAGTAAATTGCATCTCTGGTTGTTTATATGGCAAAGCAGAATTTTATTTTATTGACCATTATTGTCATTATTATATGAAGATACTTATGGTACATAACAGCAATGAAAAATTATTTTCAATGCTTTGACACTAATTAGCCCAGTTTATTAGACTCTATACCATTATAGTACAAGGCATTTACTGTGGAGTCTTCACTCACTATTTGTTTGATAATGTGCAGATACTTCCAGGTAAAAAGATCTTGTATTGACTGAAATATTAATAAACTACTTAAAGCCCCTTTTTTTTTTTCTCTGAACTTGAACATTATCTTTTCCAAATGTGTGAACATGAGAATCAGTGGTAACAGTATATTTTAGGGGAAATATTTTGCTTGAAAAAATTGATTCTGCTTGTAATACATCATGAGTTTAAAAATGGGTTACTGGTTGTGCAGGTGGTAAATTGAAACTCCTATTGTGTTGTTTGTATTCCCAGCCTTCCTTGCCCTAGTTTTATCTGCCCTTCCTGTATTTTTTACTTGCTATGTATTACCTGCAGTAAAAACTTGCTCAATGCAGTACCTGATGCAAATCAGAGACTTATGCTGAAATGCAAGAATTATGGTACAAACCATCTTTTGGCCTTTTTTGTTATTATTTTAAAGGTGCTTAACTTGACTCAGCTGTCACAGAGATAAAAAAAAGTTTTAAAATTCTTTAATTTTATGATTATGCTATTGATATTGACCAGTTATTCTATTGCCTTGTCTGGAAAGTGAGACCATTATTTTATATTACTCTAACAGTGGTGGTTCTTTCCATCTATTTAATAGGATCGTAGAGTAACACTACAAAATGTGAAATCATCTCTTCAAGCAGATATCCAGAAATTCCAGGCTTATTTGACTAATCTGGAATCTCATATAACCATCCTTGATCAAAAAATGGAAGGTGTCAAAGAGGAAGTCGAGAGAGCAGGTAATAAGTTCTTGGTCACGAATGCGATAGTGAAGCTAGAAATAGTTTTAAAATAATTGTCATTCTTAGCTTCAGAACAGAGTGAGATACCTAGTGTGTGATGCTGCCACAAATAAACTTTCCCAAATGGATTGCTAACAACGAGGGGTTTTTAGCTAATAGCTATTTGCACATTAGTGGATTGAAATACACATATTATTAACTCATAAAAATGCAGAGAGATTAGGTTTAACTGTGTTGGCTGGTATTTTACATCCATTTCACAAATGTTTTGTGACCGTAGAATTGGAGGCAGAAGCAATGAAGCAGGAGAATGCCCGGCTCCAGCACATCTTTGATAACCAGAAGTACTCAGTTGCGGACATTGAAAGAATAAATCATGAGAGAAATGAGCTGCAGCAAACCATTAACAAGCTGACTAAGGAAGTGGAAGCAGAACAAGATCAGCTGTGGAGTGAAGAGCTAAAATATGCTAGGAACAAAGAGGCGGTATGTGAAAACCCTACTACACTGTGAGGTGGCTATCAGTTTTCATCATGCAAGCTTAAACCTGGGACTTGGACTACAACTTCTTTTCTAGATAATCTAACAACAGCATACATATATCTTAACAGGCTAAAGTGACTAGAATGGCCTCTGTTTACAGTACCTCTGAAAAATGTTTCTCTTTTTTCCCCTTTTATTTTGAGCATAATGGAAATGGTTGGGTTTTTTTCTGCACCACAAGACACAGCTAGACTATGCACCACTGTCAGCTCTCACTGTTACAGTATTAAGAGCTTGATGACATTAGTATGAAATTGCTTTGATAATGTCAGGCTAATGTTAAGGTTTTATAGCAAGGAAGTAATGCAAAACTAGTGCTTTAAATCAATATCTTTGCATGCATTTAGGGGCAGATTAGTCCCTTAACTGAAGTCCTAATAGCTTTTAAGTGCTGAATTCAATCCCTTCAAACAGAATGAAAACACATAGTCTGGTAATGTATGGTGTTTAAAAGCTTCTGCTTTAACAGAGGGAGAACTACAGAATAAGTTTCAAGTCTATTTTGCATTTGGCAGGGTTACCCTTTTTCAAGCACTTGGTATTAACTTCAGTTTCTCATACTGTGCAGGTCTGAAGCACATAAAGCTGGAAAAAGTAATTAGCTTCTTTAGCATTTGCATATGACTAACACTCATTAATTAGAAAATAGAGCATTAAATAAGTTTTGTTTAGATGTATGCTCAAGTTAGCTTGTTATAAGGGTGTGGGCCTATGTGGCATTTCCTGTCAAAGCCAATGAGAAAGAGACACATCAGCAAGATGACTGATCATTGGTTTAGTACTATTTCCTAGCATGTTTTTACCTTCCTATCAACTAATCCTCAAAAAGCTGAGGCAGGAAAAAGTATGGCAGATGAGTAGAGAAAACCACAGGTGAAACCATTCAGTGTCAGCCATACACACTGAGAAACCCTGCTGAGCAAACTCTGACAAAGTAAAACAGCACTTAATCCAGCAAACTGCTGGACTCTCATTACCTACGGCTCTTGCATACTGTGGAATGACATGGAACAATGTTTGTACAGAGGAACTCAGCAACCTGTTTAACATACTATATGAATAGTTTTTGCAAAGCTTTTCACTTGTATCTCTTCTACGATTTTTGCCCTTTTCTCCTCTGAACAGATTGAAATGCAACTGGCAGAGTATCATAAACTGGCTCGAAAGCTGAAATTAATTCCAGTGAGTGCTGAGAATTCCAAAGGCCACGACTTTGAGATTCAGTTTAATCCTGAGTCAGGACCAAATTGCCTAGTCAAATACAGAACTCAGATCAAGGTAAGTAGAGTCAACACTGAAGATTCTTGTTATCACTCACAAAAAATGCATTTCTTTGGAAATGTTGGAAAGGTCTCAATCTCACAATGAAACTTCATTGAAAAGCTTGAGCCATTCAAAAATGATGAGTTGCCATAAGTACATTATTTTGGAAATTTGGTATTGACTACAGCAGCCTAAATAAAAACAGGAGAAGAAAAAGGTGTACTGAGGTGCATCTTAGTTCAAACTAACAAATTACATTAGCCAAATCTTTTCTATGCATTCTACAGGCTCCCCTTATGGAGATCATAAACCAGACTGAGGAAGAAATTAGGAAAGCTACTCAACGGAAAATGACTTTGGAAGATACTTTGGAACAGGTGTGTTGGTTAATGAAGATTAGGACTAAGATACCAACCATAATGTTATCCGCTGTTCTCATTTGACCTTTTTTGCCTGGGTGAAGTATAGTGTGGTGGGCTGGGTTTTGTTTGGTTGGGTTTGGTTTGTTGAGGGCAGGTTGTGTGTGAGGAGGAGGGGAAACTGAGAAAATTGCTTTAATGATGATGGAACCTAAATTTTTTTTCTAAGAATTGCGGTCCTTTTCTACTGGTTGAAATATAGTGCATTCCCTGCAGTGACATTTATGCAGCTGATATATATATTTGACCACAAACATTGGAAGTATTTGTTTTTAAAAAGGTGCCCATACCAGTCTGTTCTATGGCTTATCAACACTGATAAATTGTCATCAGAAGATTTTTAGCAATACTGGTTTCCAGATGGATTGGAAGAAGGAGAATTTTGTTTCCCTGTTCTTCCTCTGCCTCATTTTTTTTATTGCTGAGCATGATGGCATATGGTATAGAATATCCTTTTGGCCAGCTGGCTTGGCTATGCACCTTCCCAGCCTCTTGCCTGTCCCTACCCTGCTCAGTGAGGGGCCCTGGGGGGGATAGAAAACCTTGAATGCTGTGTTCAGCAACAGCCAAAGACTGGTGTGTTACCAACACTGTTTTAGCCCCTTACCCAAAACAAAGCATGATACAGGCTGCTATGAAGAAACTTAATGCCATCCCAGCCTGGCCTAGTTTAGATTTTTTTGGGGGGCTTCCAGGTGTTGTTTGTGTTGACGTGGATTTATATGGTGGAATCCTTTATGAATTATATTTCTTTGGTTATGTTTTCATTCTAGATGAATGCAATGGTAGCAGACAAGAAAAACAGTGTGAAAATGCTGACAGAAGAAGCTGAAAAGCTGGATGATCTTTACCATCAGACGCTTAAGGTAGAACTTCTTATAGATTTATGACAATTTCTCTTTAATGATATCCTTATCCATAATCTTTGCGTTGAGACATACAAGATTTTGGGTTGCATTTTTGTTTGTTTGGATCTCTGCCCTTGCCTTCTTACATTCTTCTTCCAGGATTCTCTCGTTCTTTTCAGAAATACTTGACTGCTACCTTAAACGTGTCAGTTTTCACCTGTAAGAGAATCTGTCATTATGCTTTAGCAGATTTTGTAAATCATATAGTAATACATCCCATCATAAAAGAAGCAGCAATCATCTCCTGACCTCAGGATATCTTGGAGCATGTGCTTGAAGGAGATTTCAGAATCAACAGAATCTGCCTTATGTAATCAGTCTGACTACAATAAATATATTTACAGTTCTTAGTAAAAATGTTTAATCAGTTTCCTTAAAAATGAAGGAAAACATTGATCAAAAGCACACTAAATGTTTTAACAATTTGAAATTATTGCTTGTTTTAGCTTCCTTGCCCAGCAAGGGAGCAGTCTCTATCCTTTTCCTCACTTGTAGTTTAGTAATAAAACACAGGCCTCTCAGCTAAGTGGTACCCTCTAAACGTCTCTGACAGCTTTGGTGGGGCTGTGGTGCCCTGCACAAAATTGTTCTTTGAACTAAGCTGCTGTTTCCCACATATAGTCTTTCAAATACAAACTCCTGTGCTACAGCCGTGAGAATGTCATTGCTAATATCTGCTGAGGTGGCTAAAGGCAATTAATTTAGGTTATTGTTTCAGAAACACCTGAAACTTATCTTTTGATCTATGCTCTTGCATGTACTTTTTCTCTAAAGGTAAGCTCATAAAATCCAAAGTCACAACTGGATGTTTCTAAGACATAGTCATGTAATTCCTCACGTAATTTTGAAAATGCTATCCATAAGACTTAAGTATTAAAATTGTTTTTGAAGGATGATGTTTCAGTAACCTACCAGAATTGCATGTTGAGTTGATGGCAGAATTTTGTTTGGTTTTGTGGATTTAATTCTATGAAGTATAGTGTCGACAATGTCATTCTCCTTGACGAGATAATTACTTAAGAGTTTGTACTCATCTTACAGACACAAAAGGGAAAAGCTATTTTCTTACTCAAATGTAAATTTTTTTTAACCTAGAAGCAGCAGTTCATGATGTACCATTTCTAAGCCATTTGGAGTATGTAAATAACACTTTTTGAGATTAACTTTGTAGGCAAAATAGCTCCAACACAGACCTTTGAATAGATAACAGGACCTAATCAGGAAATATAAAGGAGAAAAAAAATCCCTAATTATTCCCAAGTTATGCAAATTTTTCCCCTCTTTCCTACTGATTACAGGAGGCAGAAGAAGAAGAGCAAAAATTTGCAAATGATCTGGAATTGTTAAAGAAACATAAACAGTTACTTGAGAGTGGTGTCAACGAGGGTCTCAGTGAAGCCACAAATGAATTGCATGACCTCCAACGACAGTAAGACTCATAACTTCAGTGTTTGTCTAATTTTTTGGGGGGCTTATGTGTGTTTAAGGATAAAGACATTCTCTTGAATCCCAGGGTAAAATTGTCTGAGCAGGTATCCATCTCAGTATTTTAATTTCACAAGTTTAACAACTGAAAGATGTTTCTCCTCAACAGTATTTTGCTAGAGTATTTGTCTGTTGTATCAGAACTCCTAGTTTTAATGTAATTTTTATATATATGTGGATGTAAAGACTGTTCTGACTCTAGGGTACTTTGTTTCTTACCAGTTAGCACAGTACAGTCCATTTCCTTCTAAGCTGAGTATTAATATACAAATATAACTTGGTTCAACTTAATACTAATAGAAAAAAGAATGGCTAAATGTGACGATAAATCAGACTCGGTGAAGTGATTGTTTTAAATGTCAGGAATTTCGTAATCACAGACATGACTTTGAGTGTCTTTTCAGATATCAAGTTGTTATGCAAACAACAACAGAAGAGAACAGGAAAACTGGTGATATCTTGAGTCGTCTTTTAGAACTGATTGGTACTCATGTAGTGTCTATAGGGGTAAGCTAAAATTTCATATTCAGAATTAAATCTTTCTAGAGACATTGGCAACTGCAGTTAAACACATGGAAATTAAAACTTACTATTTCTAAAAACGTATCAGTTATTCAGGGCTGGTGCACTGAATCTGTGGGTTCTAGTTAAATCTGTTGACAAAACCTTTGGTATGAATAATAAGAATTGATCATTAACAGTAACATCCTGTCAGGCTTAACCTGCTTCTGGTAGATATCTTTCAGAGAAGTGTTTAACTGAAATTGCTTAACCTGTGCAATGACTGCTTAAAATGCTTTAGCAGAATCAGTACAATCAAGACCATGATAGAACTAATAAACTTTCTTTAACTCTTTTCTAGAAATACCTTGATGAGCAGAATGTGAAAATTGACAGAGAATATGAAGAATTCATGTCTGAAGATCTGTTGTCAGACTTGTCCAGAATTCTAGACAGTTATAAAAAGAAGGCTGAAAGCTTGTAATTACCAAAAATGTGAGGATGAAAATTTTACATTTCTGAAGCTCTGGTATGGTGCCTTCTAAAAGGATGGCTACCTCCTGTTTTTAGCAGTGAAACTGGTTTTAAGTGTAAGGAGGTATTTATGAGCTTCCTTTGTTGACACAAATACGTTCAAGAATTAAATGATATATTTGAATTTTCTTAGAAAAGGCTTTGCTTACACTTCCTACTTGCAATATCTTATACAGGCTTACAAACTTCTGTGACAGAACAACTGTGGAACTACTTCGTTTTGATTTTTCTTTACAATCAACTCATTTTCTAGGAACATCACTAAAGCAAGACTGCCATTAACCTGTTAAAATAACAAGGCAGAGTGGACTTAAAGATGGAACAGCACAGATGCAGTGGCAACTTGCAATACTGCTACTCAAAAATAACTAGTGCTTTTTGGAAATGTGCAAAATTGCTAGGCAATAATAGCCATGCTTTCCTTTATAGAGTATAGTTTGTGTAATTTGTAGCATACATATGTATTTAGGACACATGCACATCAGTTCACATCCTTCCCCAAGCCTTTGTTTTAGTAGCAAGACCAAATGTAAATGTCTGTCTCCTGCTTGTTCAGTTACCTATGAAACTACCCAGAGACTCCTCTTACATGAGTAAGATTTTTTTTTATTTTTTTTAAACAGAAACCTCTGTAAAGCTAAGAGTAGTTACATAGTGCTCTTGTAAATAGGCTAGAAAAAGCAAGACAGTCAGCTTGTAAAAAGAGTTCTGTCTCTAGGTGTTTGTAATCCCCTACGAAACCTCAGTGAACTTCTTGAATATGTGTACCAGAGATAGCTATAAATATGATGACACAAAAATTCTGGCGATATGGCTAATCAGTTGTGGGTTTGGCTGATGCTGGATACACAAAATGGTCTAAAATGTGTGTGCATCCTCCTTGTTAGCCCAGTAGGACGGATTCTTTTTGATTTTTCTTCCTTAGGAAAGTAGCAGTAAAATTAGCACATGGGAAGCTCCAGTCTAAATACATTGAAGAACAGGTAGTTCTTTGTTCAGTGCTATGTGGAAGTAGTATCTTGTTATCTACTCTGTATATAACTTTGTGTTATAAAATAAAATAAACCCTAGCATTTATGTCTTGGATAGTTTAGTCCATGATGGTATGTCCTAACAAAAGTATTGAAGTATTTGAGTGTTAGAGTTCAGAGATAGATACCACCAATTCAAATAGACAGAGCTGAAAATAGCTTTGCAGTTGTTCAAAAGATTTTAGCAGCTGATAGATACAGGAAGTTGCTCCTTAATTCCCTAATTGGACACAATATTTGAATGAAACACAGATCCCTAGGATATACCACAGAACTTAATCTGTACCATTGGAACAGAGACTAAATAAAATAAAATCTTTTTCAATAAAAACTGAATTGTCTAACTTTAGGCTATTTTTTTGCGGAGTGCTTTTAAAACTCAGTTGTCCTTAACGTACGTAGCGTGTGAATCTTCTGGCTCTGGAATGAGTATTTTGTTTCAGATGTTATGATAATGTTGGCATTATTTAAACTTCTAATTTTCTGTTCTTCTGTTATACTCCAGAAGTTTAATTCAACAGCTATAAAAGTTTTCTGACAGGTAGGTAGTTTTTCTTTCTTTTGTTGTCCTTTCACCTTTAAAAACTCTTATCTTTTTTTTTCCTAGTCCATACTGAATCCCAGTTCCTTTTCTTAAGCAACTTGTTCTTTTGTGATCTTTCTAGTATTTTTGTTATCTAAAACATTACTCTTCTAATTAAGCAAAACTGTGTAGTAAGGGTTATGGTCTCTCTTGGCTGCCTGATTTGTCTCTGCTACTATAACTGATTGATCTTGTCTATTAGCATCTGCAAGTTCTTTGCCCCATGGAGTAGTCAGTTGATTGAGTAAATGAAAGCAAAATAAATGACATTTCCGAAGACTAATATTAACCCAATGGTAATGGCTTAAAGAATCAAGGTCACAATAACCTTCCTTCATATACTGGCTAATGTAATGTTGTGAAGTTAAAGTAGTCAGAGTAATAAAAAAAAAAAAAAATCCACATTTGTTAGGTTGGCAACATGTTTTTGTTATTGGGCTGTATGTCAGTTAAGCTAAATTGACTGAAGAACCAACTCAGGCTTTGGCCTTGACTCTCTAAATACTACAAGGATTTTTGTTGTAATATAAAACATCAACATCAGCTAATGTTTACTAGGTAATACGTTTTCACAATTTAAAAATGGAAAGGATTTTTCAGTCTCTGAATGTGGCTTCTCTGTGATATTGGAAGTGAGGTAGTTATTTTTTATTTGTATTTTGGAATATGGCTTATAAATTTAGGCAATAGACATTAGAGCATAATTACTACTCTTGATTTTAGTTCTTTTTTTTTTTTTCTATCAGTAGGTAAAGTCTGAATCAGAATGTACCACGGCACCTGCACATGTCATTTGTAAATGTTTGCTTTTGTAAGGATACAATTGCCTCATTTATTAATAGTGTGCTGTTTTGTACAGTTTACTTAATGTCTCAAGTTTGTGTATTTTTATATTCAAAATTTCTTAAGCCTGTTTCTGTGAAGGATAGATTCTTACTGCAAGTATAGAAATACGACATAAAAAACACAATTAATTTGACTTTGATAATCTTTGAAGCAGATACTACTTGCCCGGCTATCCTTGCTGTTAAACATGCGTTGTGTAGAGGAAAAATAAAATACAAAAATATCTTATTCCTGTAAGTATAGAGGAATAAAAATCATCTTAACTTTTTAAAAATAGATGGCTTTTTAAAAACTCATAGTAGCACAGAGCCAAGCTGCTTTGACGATTATTTACACAGTATCCTTTTGGTGTTAATCTTTCCAGCCAAGCTTTTGCTATCTTAAGTTTCAAACGACTATTTCATTTACATGACAACTCTATGACAACTCTTGCATCTGGTTGCTGGCATTTTTTGTTTTTTTTTTTAAATTTAGCTACTGAAAAAATAGCCCTTGATGCTGTAGAAGTATGGTAGAACTTTGTCTATAGCTTTTTCTTGACTCAGGAGTATGTTATTTTTCAAATTTTATTGCCACAAACTCTCATCACTGTCAAGGACCTCGTAGTTGTTTCTGGAGTACTTCTTGAGTGCATCATAGAGAATCATTCAGCTTAGAAAAGACCTCTAAGATCGAGTCCAACCATTAACCTAGCACAGCCAAGTCCACCACTAACCCATGTCCTTAAGTGCCACATCTACTGACTTATAAATGCCTCCAGTGTTGGTGATTCAACCAGTTCCCTAAGCAGCCTGTTCCCATGCTTGACAACTGCTTCTGTGAAGACGTTTTTCCTAATAGCCAATCTAAATCTTTGGTACAATGTCATCTGGTCTGTTAAGGCTTTGGAATCACAGAATCATCAAGACTGGAAAAGAACTTTAAGATCATCAAGCCCAACCATAAACCTGTGACTCCAATTTAACCCCTAAACCATATCTTCTAGTGCCAGATCCAGACACCTCTTAAACACCTCCAGGGATGGTGACATTATCAACTCCCTGGGCAACCTATTCCAATGCCTGACCCCCCTAACAGTGAAAAAAAAATTCTAATATCTAATCTGGATCTCCCCTGTCTCAGCTTATGCCCATTCCCTCTATTCCTCTCTTTGCAGGCATGGCAGAAGAGACTATCCCCCACCTCTCTACAATCTCCTTTCAGATAGTTGTAGAGAGTGATGAGATCATTTCTGAGCTCCCTCAGCCCTTCCTTATATGACATTTTCTAGACCTTTTATGAGCTTTATTGCCCTTCACTGTACGCGCTCCAGCACCTCAATGTCCTTTTTAAAGTGAGGGGCCCAAAACTGAACTCAAGGTGTGGCCTCACCAACGCCAAGTACAGGAGAATGATCACTGCCCTAGTTCTGCTGGCCACAGTATTCTTGCTACAGGCCAAGATACCACTGGCCTTCTTGGTCACCTGTGCACACTGTTGGCTCATACTGAGGCAGCAGTTAACCAGCACTCCCAAGTCCCTTTCTGACAATTCTCAATCCACTCTTCCCTAGCCTGTAGCGCTGCATGGGGTTGTTGTGCCCCAAGTGCAAGACCCAGCATTTTGTCTTATTGAACCTCATGCAATTGTCTTCAGCCCATGGATCAAGTCAGTCCAGGTGTCTGTAGAGCTTTTCTACCCTCAGGCAGAACAACACTCCCACCCAGCTTAGTGTAATCTGCAAATTTTCTGAGGGTTCACTCAATCCCCACATCCAGATCATCAATAAAGATAGGACCAGCCCAAATACTAAGCCCTGGAAAACACAAGTAGTGACCGACTGCCAAGTGGCTTTAGCTTCATTCACCACAACTCTCTGGGCCCAGCTATCCAGCCAGTTTTCTTACCTCTTGAAGAGTCCACCCATCCAAGCCATATGCAGCCAGTTTCTCTAGAAGTATGCTGTGGAAGACAGTGTCAAATGACTTGCTGAAGTCTTTTGAGCTGTTTTCAGCTGTTGTGGATGAGCACCGATTGTCACGCAGAGAGAGTGGTTATTGAGATGCGAATCTTTTTTTTTCTTTATTGCAGCTGACTTTGGTCTTGCAAAGCAAAAGCAAGAAAACTGCAAACTTGCATAAATAGTGGGAACCATTCTATACTCATGGGAAGTACTCCTGCACCTGCATACAACATTAAGTCCAGAGACTTCTATCTTCATGGTTACCCTTTTGGAGCAGATAGGCAAGTTACCCACCCACAGCCACTCTGCCTATTTTGCTGTTGCCTATTCTTGCACCACTTAACTGTGGGTTAAGTTGGTGCAAAACTGAAATAACTGCAGTTGTATGGTAACTAATTCATATCTATATATACACAAATAACATTCTTATAGATAAAGAAATGTGGTTTTAAATTATAAAAAGACATATGTAAACAATATCAATCACCATCACCACACATGATGGCCATATACCTGTGAGAATGCTTGGCCTGTGTGCTGTAGTAATTACGTCCTGTAGCAAGTAATTAAAGGACAAGGACAGTTGATTTGGAGATGTCCCTTGGTTCTTTAAAGAATAACTCATTGGTGTTGTCGTCCTGGCTGGGTGGCCAATAGCAGCCTCCCACAATGATGCCCACTTCATTTGCTGGTCCCTCAGTCCCTACCCAGGTGCCATCA